TTGTAACATTGGAAACAAACCGGTCCGGTTCTCGCTTCTCTTTGATTCTTGGTCCCGATTTTTTTCATTTGTATTTGTGTTGCTTATAAATCTTATTTTTTCATAGTTTTTTTTTTGTTATTCATATTGCAATTGCGATTATATCTACAATATGTATTTGTAAAACTGCAAATGTGAAAATTTTAGAGTATTTTTTGTGTTTGATTTTTTTTTTAATACTTTTTTTATTAAAACTGATTTAAAATAGTTTACATCATCGAAGAAGTTCAACATATGAAATAAATACAAAAATAAACTAATGATTTTTTCTGCATCGGAAAATAAGTGAGGATAATAATCGTTGACGACACATTATTGATACCAAGTTGATCTTGTTTCAAATCGAAAGTATACAATTAGTTGTTCTCGAATCCACATTAGCGGCCAGACTTCCAAAATCTATTACGATAACATAACAATTCTCTGAATTTAGACAGTTAAGTATTTCCGAATCCATAAGTTTGATTTTTTCTTTTTGGGGTGAAGTTGTAGAAGTATTTATTTATGGGAAATTAGCATAAATATCACCAAAAAACTATAATTTCATCTTTTCCTCTTTTTATCTTTTCCTATCTCTCTCTAACCAATTGGTTAGTTTCTAGGTTATTTTTTTTTGTTGTGATCCCACAAATCCACCTTTTATTTATTCATCATACCCCTACTTACAAATCCGATAGTTCACAAAAATAAATTTTCTCATTTGACGGCAGGTTTTTCCCAAAAAGATACAAAAAAGCATAAGATATTTTAAAAAAAAAGGAATACACATTTAAAATATGTTTGATGTTTTTATCTTTTTTTGCGCTTAAATTTTACAAAGAATGCTGAAAAGTAAAATCAAACGCCGTCTTCAAAGACCATCACTTTAAAAGATGTCCACTAGTAATGTAACTAGTAACACCAAGAAGTTACCAAGAGAATAAAATCGGAATATAAAGGTTATGTTCTTTGGAATTTTCATTTTCCTATATTTTAAGAGAATAGTAGGAATTTTTTTTTTTTTTGTAAACTCTATATATAGACACAATAGCTCAAGCAAATAGACTTCTATTATTTTACAAAAATAAATTTTTGAACTTAAAATTACTAGCCTTGTTTTAGCAAATTGTATTTATGCATTCACAATCTAGTGAACTTATATATATATCTTTTTTTTTAACACTTTGTTTTATTAAAAAGGTCAATTTGGTGAATAACCAAAAAAAATATAATTCAAAATCTAAGAAAAATGGTATGTATGGCAATATTTTGACCATTGGATTAAGAGGAATTGGTTATTTAGTGGGTTATAATTTTTTATAGTTATTGAGCACAATTTATCTTATTAAAACTGATTCAAAATATATTACAACACTGAAAAAGTTTAATAGATGAAATACAAAGAGAAATAAAGATAATAATTGTTGATGACCATTAGCGACACCAAGATGATCTTGTTTCGAATCGAAGGTAAACAATAATTGTTTTCGAATCCACAATAGCAGCCGGATTTCCAAAATCTATTACGATAACATGATAACAATTCTCTTAATCTAGATAAATCTCCTTCTTTGATTGCCTTTGTCAATTTTGTTCCGTTGAACAAGTTTAAACTGCAAAACTTAAATCAAATAGATACCCATAATTGACTAGAAAATAAACATAAATTTTTTACGAGGGAGAAACCTCAACTAAAAACTTCATCCAAAAAAAACTAAACCCAATCAAGAGAATCACAATAATTTATAAATACCATACGCCGAATAAACATCACATCGTCTTCTGACCAAAAACTCTAGAACATCCTCTAGACATCATGTCGAGCGTAGAAACTACTTGTTTACAACCTTTTCCATCTCATGATGCTGGTAAAAGCACCAGACATCAGAGAAGGAGTAAATTCAAATCACTTTTTTTCTTTCTTTTTCTCGGACGGCTAGAATTTTTCTAAATATTTATGAACAAGTTTAGGTAGGAGTAGACTTGGTTTATCAAATTTGTTCGGTTTATGTTGAATGGGGAATGATGATCTCCAAACTTTTATATATCTTAGTGAGAGAGATTTGGTATATATCAAAACTCCTTGTTACTAATATGTACTTCTACTTTGTCGGCAATATGTATTTCTTTTCTTTTTTTTGAACAAGTAGGCAATAAGGATTACTAAACTAATATTTTGGGTAAAGATCTAAAAATTCATAATGGATTGTTAAAAGATTGTAATTAATTCTATTTTTCACAACAATGTCTACATTGATCAATCTTATTATATATGTTTTCTAAAAGCTTTCCTTTACAAAGTCAAACTTAAAACATGGAAACTTTATTTTTAGCAAAAAACATGTAAATTTTATCACGATAGATATAGTGTTACGATTATATATGATTAATATAGTATTTGTTATAGTTTTATGAATGATAAAAATAAAAGGGGTAATTGCAAAAATGCCACTTTTGGTGTGTCTATTTTCAAAAATGCCACTATAAATTGTTCATTTGTAAAAATACCACT